GAACATTTTAAAAATAAAATAAAACATCTACCCTTTATGAGATTACTGAATTTGTCTGTCTCATGATGAATGTTTCTGACCTCTACATCAGTAGACTAAAAAGCCTCATTTTTATCAGCACATATTGGGATTTAATGGCAATAGTTTCAGCTTCTTTTCATCCTTCTCCTACTTAGCGTTTGACTAGACATAGTAGCCTGTGAATCTTTCAGTTTTTATTATAAGTACTTTTTTGAAGTTATTGTAGATTGAAGTTTTGAAAACTAATGCCATTTTAAATGATTCAGGTAACTGAATTTGCTGTGTCCTCCCAGAACAGCCACCTCCCAAGAGGGCATCTGTAGGTTAACACAGCAACTCTTAAGGTCCATCTGCCTCTGTGTGAATTAGGCTTCTAGATGGTCCAGGAAACAGCTGCAGAGAAATATCTGAGGAAATCAGATATTCCACAGAATTCTTGGTTATGTAGTAATTTCTAGTCTAGACAAGGCATCTTTATTTAGTGGATTTGTATTTAACAATGTGGCAATGTGAGTTCCTACCTGGGCAAATAGCTTGGCTCTCTCAGTTCCCACATCTGCCAGCTCTGCAGGAAGTGCTGACAAGAATTAATTGGCTTTCCTGAGTCTTCAGGCTCAGTTCTGCTTCTCAGTTCCAACAATCCCCACAGGACTCTGCTCCAACATAATTTACTGTCTAGAGGACTTTCTGTTTACAAGAATTCTAACTGATAGGCACCGTATCATGTGAATATATTTTTAAATTCAGTAAGTTAGAACCTTGAGAATTTTTCAGGGTATTTAGCTCAGGTTTTTAAAATGGGACATAACTATCTTCAAAGTATTTGAATTATCTTTTGTTTTTATGATGATTCTAATACGGTCCCATCTAAAATGTGTGAAAAAAGTTTTAAAAATAAAATGTGTGATTTACACAAATAACTTTGTTCTTCTTCTCTTCCTCTGGCTGGCAGTATTTTTAGTGTGGTAAAGGGGTCCTTCCAATTTCATACTGGGTTTTCTGAGCAAGACAGAGTTGGTAGGGTAGAAATAGGACTTCTTCCCGATTGTTGATTCTATTTATAGCCTCTCTAATAATAATTTATTTATAGAATAATATAAATGTCATCTAGATTCTGTTCCCTTAATTATTACCATACATCTGGGAAGCCCCTGTTCTCAGAGGCGTCACCTTTGGGGAAATTATATTGATTCCATTACACAGGAAAGGAGTAAGTAAAAAGGAAGTTGTGTCACACTACAGTGGTAGCCAATTAGTATAAAAATCATGGAAAGTTGGAAGGGAATTCTGCAGTTATATCATCCAACTTTCTACAAAGTACTAGTTTCTGTCTAGACAAACACTGGGTGTCTCTCTAGCTAAGTGCCTACCATAATCAGAATACACTTGTTCTGAGGTGCAGCTCTATTTCATTGTTGGATAACTCAGATTTTTAGACTGGTTTTCGCATGACAGATTTACAATGTCCTCTTTGTAATTTCCATTAATTAGTCATAGTTTGTTCTCAGTAGCTGCACAGAATAAACTCACTCATTAATTGATTGATCAGTCCCTTTATATATATTCATTTTGAATCAGATGCTTATGATATATAATATAGTGTGCCAGGCATAAGCATCAAACTCCAGGAGCTGACAGGTTAGAAGAAGGTAACAAGACATAGATAAGCTGTATGTCATATAAGCTATATGAGCAGTATAAATTCAGTGCTATGAGAATGAAGAAGGATAGGATCAGGTCCTACAGGCATTGGTCAGTGCTGCAATCTGAATGTTTGTGCCTACCCCCAATTCATATGTTGAAATCCTGACCCAAAAGGCAATGATATTTGGAGGTGAGGCCTTTGGGAGGTGATTAAGCCATGAGGGCAGAGCTCTCATATATGGGATTAGTGACCTTATAAAAGTGACCCCAGAGAGAATTCCCTTACCCTTTCCACCATATGAGGTTATAGATGGCCATGTAGGAAAGAAGATGTAGCAAAAAGATGGCCATGGAGGAAGTGGGCCCTCACCAGACACTGAATCCACTGGCAGCTTGATCTTGAACTTCCCAGCCTCCAGAATAAATTTTTCTGTTTATAATCTACACAGTTTACAATCTTTTTGTTGAAACAGCCTAAATGGACTGACAGTCAGCAAATTCTTCATGGAGACAGCAACATTTAAAGCTTCTTATGTTTAATGGCTTGATGCTGAAGGGCAGAGATTTGGATGTGGAGGTTGCAAGGATCCAATGTTGAAGAAGTATTGGGTAATTTACATTAGTGGAGCTTAGAAATTGAATTGGAGAGTGGAAGACAGGGCTAGAAAAGCTGGTCAAGTGAACGTGACACTGTGAAGGGCTTTTTATGCCTGGAGTGGAGGGTGAGAGGAATGGTGGCAACAGAGCTGTGACCAGGTAGAATTCACGTCGTGTCAAATGCCAGGCTGCAGAATCTAAGGATTATCCAGCAAGGCGGGGCAGAGCCCAGGGGCTGGGTGCTAAGCAAGTGACACTTGTGTTTAGTGAGATAACCCTGGTGGCAGGAGACAGTGGGCTAGAGGGATATGCAGCATGTCAGGGATAGGTAATAAGGGTCAGGAGCCCTGTGGTGGCCTCTGCAGTGGGGGAATTGAATAAGAGTTGGATAATGACTAAGACACAGCTTTGGAAACCAAATGAAGCACTTATTGTTTCTTCTGCAGGTTCCCTTTCTCACTTCCCACCTCTCCAGACTATTCATATATATGGACAAACCCCTCCTCTCCTTACTTTCTGGTGAATATTTACTTATTAACACCTGCAAGTGGTTCCAAATAACTGGTAGAGAATCCTAGGATCCAAATATCTGTAGTGAAATATCTATCTCAGGTTGATTCCCCTGCCTCCAGTGAGGTCTACATATAAGCTGAGCCCATATAATGAAAGAAACTTAAGAATTCTTTAGGATAAAGGTGTGTGTGCACCCAGGGATTTAAATTTAATAGTTTTTTTCTTTGGTGTCTATCTATGCTCAGGCAATAAGGACAATCCTTATTGTTATTCCTTTATAACTATTATTCCTTTTGTTACTGAGCTTTTTGTTCTAACTTGAAAAGAGGGGCTGCCATATGCAAAAATAAAAAATATAAAAATATAAAAAAATTAAAAAAAAACATATAATGAGAAACCTAGCTGAGATATATAGGTTTGAACTGGTCTGTTGCTCAGAAAATTAAGTCACTTGCTAAATGAAGTATCATTAGTAATTTTGGGGAATCTTCTAGCCTGTCTTCTCACATCATACTGATATTTGTTCTTAATTCTAAACTTCAAAATTACTTTCCTTGGCCAGGTGAGGTGGCTCATGCCTGTAATCCCAGCACTTTGGGAGGCCAAGGCAAGAGGATGACTTGAGCCCAGGAGTTCAAGACAGGCTTGAAAAACATAGTGAGACCACATCTCTGCGAAAACGTGAAAACAAAATTAGCCAGGCATAGCATGCCTGTAGTCCCAGCTACTTGGGTGGGTGAAGTAGATGTATCATTTGAGCCCTGTAGGTTGAGGCTACAGTGAACCAAGATCATATCACTACACTCCAACCTGGGCGACAGAGCAAGACTCTGTCTCAAAACAAACAAACAAAAAAAAACCCACATGTGTGTGTGTATGTGTGTGTGTGTGTGTGTGTGTGTGTGTGTGTGTCTGGGTGTGATGGCTTAATGCCTATAATCCCAGCAGTTTGGAAGGCCATGGTCGGAGGATCACCTGAGGTCAGGAGTTAGAGAACAGCTGGCCAACATAGCAAAACCCTATCTCCACTAAAAATACAAAAATTAGCTGAATGTGGTGGCACATGCCTGTGATCTCAGCTACTCAGGAGGCTGAGGCAAGAGGATTGCTTGAACCTAGGAGGCTGAAGTTTCTGTGAGCCAAGATTGTCCCATTGCACTTCAGCCTGGGTGACAGAATGAAACTCTGCCCCTCTCCCAAAAAAATCACCTTCCCTTATTTTGCAAATATTTATTGACTACCTACTATTCATCAGGCCCTGTTTTAGGGCCTGAGAGAATGAAGGAGAACAATAGGATGGGATCAGGTCCTGCAGTCATTGGTCAGTGCCCTTATGGAGCTTACCTAGCAAGAGGAGACAATCAATGCATAATAAATATAATGTTAATTATACAGTATATAAGAAGGAGAAAAAGCAGAGGAGGGTAGAGGAGAATAGGATTGTGAGGAGTGGGGAGGGGAAGGCAAGTTGCAATTTTACCGTTAGCACCACCAGTGGAATGAAGGAATTCCCAGTGGGTTACTTGGAATATCACTGGATGGCAATGAATGGGCAGTAGGGGAGTAAAAGAGGAGGGAAACAAAGCGAGGGGGAAAATTGAAGAAATAAACAGAGAAACACATCAATTGGGTGATGCCACTTTGGGATGGGGTCCAAAGCTAGGAGTCCCTTTCTCTGAGGACCTTACAAAAGAGACTAGATGGATCAGGAGTCCATGAACAAAAGGGCTGGACAAGTGTGTCCTTTGAGGCTCCTCCCAGCCATTGAATCTCCAAGAACAGCTCCTGTACCCAGTCAGCTATCCTATTGTTGCAGTTAGAGTCCTGAGGTAGCCGTATTTCCACCTCTACTTAAAGAGTGGTTAATACTTTCAATACAAAGAGGGTTTCTTTTTAATAATACTAAGATCAAGTCACTGTGTGTTGAGACAGTAGATGTTGAAAATAAATTTCCTAGTATTATAGGATCTGTCCCCAACTTATCTGGTCCTGGCAGTTTATGTGAGCCTCTGGGGTCTGTACTAGAAAAATACCAGAACTGTAGACTGTCGGGGAGACAAGGAAGTTTAACATGCTTGTGCTCCAAGGGAGCTCTGAGGGAACTCCGAGGTCTTGAGGGGAAAGGATGTTGTGTCTCCACCAGGCAGGGGTAGATGGTGGGTTAGACAGGAGAGAGAGCTGAGGCCAAGCACCCACTCACTGTCTGCTGCTGCTTTGATTCATAGGTGTGGCAGGTGCTTCCAGTGCCATGGACCACACGTTCTCAACAACATCCAAAGATGAGGAAGGATCGTGTTACACATCTCTGATTTCTGACATCTGCTACCCACCTCAGGAGGATTCTACATATTTCACTGGAATTCTTCAGAAGGAAAATGGCCACGTCACCATTTCAGAAAGCCCTGAGGAGTTGGGTACACCCGGTACCTCCTTACCAGATGTGCCTGGGATAGAGTCTCATAGCTTATTTAGTTCTGATTCTGGAATAGAGATGACTCCTGCAGAGTCCACTGAAGTGAATAAGATCTTAGCAGATCCCCTGGACCAGATGAAAGCAGAGGCCTATAAATACATTGACATAACCAGACCCGAGGAGGTAAAGCACCAAGAACAACGCCACCCCGAGTTGGACAACAAAGACTTGGACTTTAAGAATAAGGACACTGACATCTCAACAAAACCTGAAGGGGTCCGTGAACCTAACAAACCAGCTCCTGTGGAGGGAAAAATCATCAAGGACCATTTCTGTGAAGAATCCACATTTGCTCCGTACATAGATGATCTCTCTGAAGAACAGCACAGGGCTCCTCAGGTTACCACCCCTGTCAAAATCACACTGACGGAGATAGAACCTTCTGTTGAAACTGCTACCCAAGAGAAGACCCCTGAGAAGCAAGATATATGTTTAAAGCCAAGTCCTGACACAGTCCCCACTGTCACCGTCTCGGAGCCTGAAGATGACAGCCCAGGATCTATCACCCCTCCATCTTCCGGAACAGGTAGATGCCCTGTTATTGCTTGACTTAGGAAAACCCAGCATATGGAATTCTCAGTCTCTAAAACACATATTAAGGAATGACTATTTTCATTCAACATACTTTACTATATGGGCCCCTTAAATTTCATTTAGTTTAATTAATATTCAACATTTTCAGTCTGTTGCCAATTGTACAAAGGTTGCAATCTGGGATTTCTCTTAAATTCCTATCAGGTTTTCTTTGTAAAAGAAAAGGAGACAATGTGGTGCTGCCTGCTTCTCAGCTTTCTGCTGGGATCTAGGTTGTCTCAGTCTGTTTTGTGTCCAGAGGAGACAATGCGGTGCTGCCTGCTTCTCAGCTTTCTGCTGGGATCTAGGTTGTCTCAGTCTGTTTTGTGTTGCTTATAACACCTGACATCAGGTAATTTTTAAGAAACAAAATTTATTTCTTAACAGTTCTGGAAGCTGATAAGTTCAAGGTCAAACGGGCGCATCTGACTTGCTAGTGGGGACTCTCTGAAGGGTCTCAAGTAGGTGCTGGGTATCACGTAGTGAGGGGGCTAAGCATGCTAACATGCTATGCTCAGGTCTCTCTTCTTCTTATAAAGCCACAAGTCCCATTTCCATGATAATCCATTAACTCTTTAATACATTAATCTATTAGTACACTCATGAAGGCAGAACCTTCATAGTCCAATAGACCATAGCCTCTCAAAGGCTCCGCCTCTCAATACTCCCACACTGGGTATTAAGTTTAAACATGAGTTTTGGAAGGGACATTCAAACTATAGCATAGGTCTCTTGGAGACATTATGAGGAAAGCATGTTGACTGTTCTCTCTAGACTGCCTTAAGCGCCTTGGCATTTAACCTTCCTGGCATGAGCTCTAAGACTGTACACTTAAGGGAAAGGAAAAGGTGGACTTCTGGATCTTTTAGGGGTAGCACAGACAGGGAGAGGAAACTTAAAGGAAACTTAAAGTTCACTTAAAGTGAACTCCTCCCTTCCCCTTTCAATATCAACACTGTCATTTTATATCTAGTTTATTGAAGTTCCACATACAATTTTATTTTTGAAACCAAAAGATGTACTTCACTAAAAGTTTTTAAAGTTTGGACTTCATTAGACTATGGTCTTTTTCAATTTGAACATTCTTCTACTGTGACTCAAGGCAGGATATTAAACAGCACTCATACACATTCTCTCAAACACAAAGCAGTCCTCTTATACCCCTGGCTAAAGGCCAGAGAGGCAGCAGGAAACTCCTTACCCCACCCTGTGCCACCCTTCTTTCCAGCCTTTGCATCTCTATCTCTCTCAAATTCCCACGAGGCATTGAGATGAAGAGGACAGTGAGAGGTCCTCAAACCTTCCCCTGCCTCTGGTGACTGGCATTCTACCATATCTCAAAGAGGTTTGATAAGCATATCAGGTGAAAGAGCTTCTAATAAACTCTGAAAATGGAGCCAAACCCTATAGAGGAGGAGCGATTGCTCTAAACCCTGATGCTATAGTACAGGTCCAAGTGTTGGAATAGAATTGAATTAATGAAAGTTCCTCCTATCTTGTTTCCCTATAGATTTTAGCATTAATTCCTTCTCCCCAAAATTACTTTAGACTCATTCAACTGTAAAGCTCCAAGGGTCTTGAAGATTCACTGTGCCAAGTACCCGATTTTTCAGATTCACTCACTGACTCAACAAAGACTTTCTACATACTTTCTTTTGGTCAGGTACTCTATGAAGCACCGGTGATGGGGAATTAACAAAAAATAAAAAACAAACAAAAACCAGTCCCTGCCTCCAGGGGGCCAGACACCAAGGAAACAGTCCCAATCCAGTGTGCTTGGTGTTCTGTGAAAGGGAGATGTACGGTGCTAAGAAGCTCTGGAGTCCAGCGGCTCCCAGGTGAACTGGGACCAGAGGTGACTCTCAGAGAACAGGGGGAAACAAACAGATGAAGGGAAGGGTGCCCTTTCAGTCTGAAGAGCTGCATGGACATGGAGTTGGAGGGCCCAATGAACTTCACATAATATGTAAATTGAGATTTGGGAGTGATGACAAATCAGAAAACTGAGGCTTCAGGTGGATTAGATACGAATTGCCCCAGCCTAAAACATGAGGTCAGAACATACCCGAGTTTCCAAGCCTCCTTGTACTCTTTCTGGCAATGCATAGTAAAACTCTATTATTTCCTGCCCTAGAGATACTTGATGTTCTGAAGATATAAGTTATATAATCAGCCGTGTTTTACAGCACTCCAGGGTTGTTCTGCTGTCAGTTCAGAAGAACTTCAGCCAGTCCTCAGGAATAATGAAATGCCCAGGCACACATAGGTCTACTTACATTGCACATGCTTCATGTAAGAATTACAGTTTGCAAAGACTTGACAAAGGGTTCATTACTTTTTAGAGATTTTCCATTTTTTAAAGAGATATGGCCCAATGAGGTTCTGGAGAAGGTTCAAGAGAAGGCAAAGGCAGATCTGGCTTACATAATATTGGAGTTTTATGATGTTGGGTTACCCACTTGACAGTATGGGGTTAGGGCAATGATTGTCTCCATAGCTGCAACCAAATAAACATTCTAAGCAAGGTTTATTTAGGAAAGAGAAAATGGCGCATTACACATTCTCTCCTGTGTTCAGCTTCTCTCTCCATAGGCATCCCACATCAGAATACCAGAGTCATATAGCAACAGATAAGAATGAAATTAAAGAATCAACTTCTCATTGAGGCCTTCCTCCCTGCCCTTTTTATCCTGCAAGGTTTCTGACCCCCTTCCATCCTTCTTGTGACCCCTGGCATCATGTGACACTGTGCCCATAGACGTTAGAAGATATGGGCTTTATTACATCTATTGAGTCTTAGGTCACTCTGCCATTTCCAGTGACAACAGATAAAACAAAAATTGAGAATTACACATAATTCTACATAGAAACTGAGGAAAAAGAAAGCATGTTAAGCAAAAAACAGTTCAGTTTATCATTATCTGGAGAATAACTGAAGAGAAATTCTATTTTAGATTAGTTTTAGCCACAGACGCTGATGTTTAAGCAAGATGTCCAATATATTTATATTTCTCTCAATTCCAATAGATTATTCCATTTTGTGATGTTCTTCAACATACTTACCTATTTTCACTAGTTAAATAATATACACTGAGGTGGAGAGGCAAGAATTCTTACAGCTAAAATACTGGAAATCTCTTTTAAACCAAGACCAGTCATGAAAAAAGTGAGGCAATTTAGGAAAACATAATAAATGCCCTGATGGACCAAACATTGACCAGGAACACCGTGTTGTTTTTGACACAAACACCAAGAGGCATATTGTGATGGTCCTGGGTGTTATGTGAGCTGTCAGCCTCAAAAAGGACAATAATCAGAAGTCATTCTTAAAACACCCCAGTTTCCCTCAAGAAGAAATAAGCCACTAAAAGTAATTTTTAAATTTTAAAACGACCATTGCTATTTCCTTGCATTGATGGGATTTATGATTCTCCTACCCATTTTTAAAATCTATTCTTCTATTCAAAAAATATTTATTGAGCAACTTCTATACATCAGACATGCACTGGCCACTGAGACATTGTGGTAAGTAAGATATACAAGGTCCCTGCCCTTGCAGAGCTTACCTGCTAGTCAGAGGTGACAGAAAATAAAAAACAAACACATAAAAAAGTGTAATATCACCGTATGTGCACTATAAAGAGTGATGGGGGGTTGGGTGTGAGGGGCCAAGGACTGCCTCTCTGAGGAGATGACACATGAGCTGAGATCTGAATGAGTAGAAGGAGCCCACAGTTCAGAGAGGGCCTAGAAGGGACATCAGTTTTGGGGGGACAGCAAATGCACAGACCCTGAGTCTGTATTTTATGAGAACTGAAAAGGGGCCTGTGACTCAGGAGGAAGAGAGAAGTGGTGCAGAGAACACAATTGGACAGGCAGGCAGGGCCGAGATAGTGGGGAAGGAGTTTGGATTTTGTTCCAAATGTAATTGGAAGCCATTGGAGGGCTTTAAGCTGTGAAGTGACATCATTGCTTCATTCATCTATTTATTTAACAAATATGTGTTGACCATTTATTCCATGTCAGGCATTGCTCTATTGCTGCCAAGATTCACAGGTGAGTGAGTAGTGACTCAGAAGGAAATCGTGGCTGAATGGAGCTTACATTCTAGTTGAGAAGACAGACACACATATAACCAAATATATAATACCAGGTAGTTATAATAGTTATGCAGAACAATACAGCAGGGCAAAGTGTAAGAGAGTGGTGGCAGTGGGAGTGAGAAGAGGCTTCTCCGAGGTAACAGCTTGAGCAGAGACTAAATGGATTGAGGGAGCAAGTCATGCAGCTGTCTGAGAAAGTGAGGCCAGGCTGAGGGGCCTTCAAATGCGAAGGCCCTGAGCTGGAAGGCCGGCATGGCTGGAGTAGGAGGAAGGAAGGGAAGCGTGGCAGGATCAGACTTGGGTTTTCAAATGATCCTTCCGGATGCTGCGTGGAGAATGAGCCAGGAACAAAGGGAACCCTAATGGCAGCATCATTCACAGTTGGACACTGGTGTCTGCAACTTGCTAAAATAGCCCATGTTCACCTTTCCTTTTATCCATCTCAATTATGTCATCATAACTATCAGCAGCAGCAAACACATCACCGTGGGGTGCCATTCTAACTTTCTCAATTTTCCTATTTTATCTGATGATTTTAGGTAACTGTTTCTAGCTTTGCAGTGTCAGCCTTGATACATAATGACCAATATCTTAGTTAGAAGGCCATGAAATTTTAAACAAAGGTATGGAAACTTGTGTTTTGTTCTAAAATTTTCCCTGATTACTCCTAGCATTTTGTTAAACCTTTAGTTCCCCTTAAGAACATAGGGCAATATCTACAGGAGCTATGGGTTCCTTTTGACTCACAGTAAGGGTGGATTATTTTTAAGGTAGCACCTTCACTTGCTCAAGATGGAACTCCTCAGGCCCTTTTCTCCCGCACCCCACAGCTGTCTGGAATCATCCTGAC